GCCCGGCCCCCTCCAGGAGCCGAGCGCGCGGCCGTCGGGGCTCGGCGCCACCCCGCCCGACGTGCCCAGCCGCAAGGCCAGTGTGCACAAGCATGTGGTCTTTCTGGAGCCGGGCAGGAGGGGCCTCAACGGGCGCGTGCAGCTGGCGGTCGCCGAGGACTTTGATCTCTACAATCCCGTGGGCCTGCGGCTCCACGCTGGCTCTGAGTCGGCTAGCTCCACGGGCTCCGAGGCGCTGGTGATGACCTAGGCCGCCCTGGGCTCAGAGCCAGGCCACCGCCCGCCCGCTGCTTTGCCCCGCTCCCCGCTGCTGCCCCGGGCAAGAGCTGCCAGATGCTGGTGGCCGCGCGGGGCTTGGTCCTCCAGCCTCCTGTGTGGCCTCGACCTCAACTACAGCAGCCCCACTCGCTGATGGAAGGGCTGGGCTCCCCGCCCTCTCTCCTGCTCTGCTCTCACACAGGGCTCAAAGGCCAGAGGCCCCCGCAGGACCTGCTGGTGCCCAAGTGTCCCCCGAGGCCTGGAACTGGGGCCATCTGGAAGGGCCCGTGCGTTAGAGCCCGAGGCACCCCCTTAGGGGCCGAGGCAGCTATCAAGCAGTAGTGGTGAAGAACTAAAGCATAACCATCTTCCCCTTCCCAGTGGGGCAGGAAGAGAGTGGGCGCCCAGGGGAAGAGGAGGAGAGCGCCAAAGGAAGACCTAGGCCCCCACCCAGGGTGGAAGGAGGAAACCCGCACCAACATCTAACCTCCTTCAAGCTTCACAACTCCATGCAGTCTGGTGGGCAGGCAGAAAGGCGAGAGACCCCTCCCCGCCACCCCTCGGGGGGCCTGGCCCGAGCCCCAGCCGGAGCAGCCTCGCCGTCTCTGGCCAGCGGCATCCACAGGCCACTCTGAGGGCAGGGTCTCTTCCGTGGGCTCACAAGACAGTAAGGGCCACCAGGGCCTGTCCCCCAGCTTTTCAGCAGTAAAAAGCCTGCTGAGCATGGCCAAGATGGGAGGGCTGAGCCAGAACTCACTGACCCTCAAGGGTAGAAGCCTCTTAAGGGCTGGCACTGGTCTCGGCCTAATGGCCGAGGCCGTGCCCTGGTCTTATACGCATCTTACCACCCACCGCAGGGAGGCGGGGAAGAGGGGTCTGAGAGCCCTCCTGTGTGGGTGCTGAGCTGGGGGCTCCTACGAGCATCCTGGATCCAGTTGTCCTGGAGTTCCTTAATAAAGGTGGTACATGCTCATTACCGGACCCTTCGCGAACACAAGTAGCAGTGCGTGTCCTCAGCCCCTGAGCCCAGCAGTGCCGTCCCGTACATGCAGGATAGCACCCCAGCCCTGCCTGAGGCATAACCGCAAGCCAGTGCGCTCTCCGATTCTTCTACTCAGAGCTGCTGCTGCTGCCACCTAGTTGGGCAGTTTGTACCTCACGGCCTTCCCCCTGCCTCAAAAACCTGATACCGAGGTTCACTGCAGAGGCAAAGAGACAGTGGCAGGAGGCCCTGGCCGGCCCACTCCCGCCAGCCACGCCAGCTCCCGTGGGCCCACGGGCCTCACACTCACCCCGAGGCCGGGCCATGCGCCAGGAGCCGCACCAGGATGCCCGTCACGGCCACCAGAATGGGGTAGTGGTCCACGCTCTCCAGGCCTGGGTGGGGGAGGAGGGAGGGCAAGAGCTGCTGCGTGCTCCTACTGCAGGGGGTCTAGGCCTGCCTGGCTAGCGCCAGCCCCCCTCCCCAGCATCCTCCCCACAGAAGGGCGAGCTAAGGCTGCGGGGGCCCAGGCCGGCTGTCCCGACACAGCATGGACAATCAGGCATCCCTGCTCCCAGCGGAGGAAGCGAGCCCCGGGATATGTTGGGTGTGGGGCGCTGGGTCCTCACCAGGCAGCCGCAGGGTGACCACGCGGTCAAACAGGTTCCTCTCAGCCGTCACCCGGTTCAGCACCTGGTTGAGGAGCTGTGAGGGCAGGAGCCCATTGGTGGGTGTCGAGGGTGGGCTCGCCACTGGGGCCTTCCCGGGGGCCCCCCTCTCCCTGCCCAGATGGACACACCTGCGCGAGACGCCGCAGCAGCATCTCAGACGTAGGCCGGGCCCAGTCAAGGAATATGTCGGGCACCAGCGTGATGGTCATCTCCAGGACCCGCAGCAAGCTGACTGAGAGGTCGAAGCAGGTGGCGCACACCTTGAGCTGCCGGCTGTCCACAAAGTTCCGCTCTAGGCGCTCGGCAGCCTGTTGGATCTGAGCCACCGGCGGGGGGGCAGGCAGCGCTCAGTGGCCTGGTGGCGCCGCACATCGCGCCGGGCCCACTGCAACGCTGCAGCCCGCCCGACCCACCGACCCGCCGTGACGCACCTCCTGGATCATGCCGATGAACTCCGAGAAGGCCCAGTTGAGCTGGTTGAGGACGCTGTTGAGGAAGCTGGGCGCCACGTCGGGCCCCTCCCGCAGCAGCTCCGCCATGTGCTGCTGAAGCAGGGTGGAGGGGCAGGGCTCTGTGGGGGCGCGAGGAGGCGGCGTCACTGAGGACTCCATTCTGGGGCTCCTGCCTGCCCTGTCTACCTCCGTCCTCACTTGTTGGGCCATTGGTGTACGGACAGAAAGATGGCTCCCTGAGAATGCTCAGGTCACGAAGGCGGGAGGACAGGGTACAGCCCTGTCCGGGGGTTAGAGCTAAATCTGTCCCTCCATCTGCTGGGCAAGCCACGGGCTGAAGTCCTTTCCAGCCCCACACCATCCCTTAAGCCTAGAGCTGCCCCCCCCCCCAGCCTGTCCCCAGCGAGTTCTCAGCCACATGGCTTTCAGGGAGGGCTAGACCCAGACAGGGTGACCCAGACCTCTCCTCACTCGTATCCAGGTCAGCGTCCCTAAGACCTACTTGTCTGAGCCCTCTCCTCTCCTCTGCTGCCCTTGGCCTGGCCTTGGCATATGGCCGAGGTGGTGGGTGCCAAGTCTGGGCTGACAGGGAGCAGTAACCAGAGCCCTTAGCCGCAGCTGGGCTGGACACCTGCCCCCCCCCCCCGCCCATGCAAATCAATAGTTCCTACAGCAGCAGGACAAGTATCTGGTCCCACTGCCATTCTCCATCTGCAGCTCAGTTCCACCTGCAGGCACGACCAAAACAATTGGCAAGGACTTGATGTGTGACTTTGCACAAGGCAATCAGCCTCTGGGGACCCCTTCACGCAAAAACCCTGCCCACGAGGGCAGAAACACACCACGTGGGCCAAGGAAAGCCACCCTGTGGGGTGAGCGCAGTGTGTGGCAGGCAGACTGCAAGCTGGCCCACCCCAGGCCCGGCCTAGGTGAAGGTCCTCGGGTTCACAGGGCTCTGCTGGACCATGGCCCCCAAAGACAGAGCGAAGCCTCTGCTCCCAACCAAATGCCTCTTCCTCTTGGAAGCTCCATGGGCACCGCCTAGTCTGTGCCCCTGCCTTGACTCAAGTACCCAAGGTCTGGCGCCAGCAGATGGCAATGAAGGAGGAGAAGGACATGGTGCTGGGACCAGGCTGGAGGTCAGGGAGCTGGTTCAGGGTCCTCACTGTGTCAGCTGCAGGCAGCCTGGGAAGATACTGCCCTTTTTCCCTATGACCCAGCAGAGCATTCGGGCCCAAAGGGCACACGTGGCACTGGGGAGCCAGGGGGAGTAGGCCCAGTGTCCCCGGACAGAGAGGAAGCTGGGAGATGGAAGCCCCAAGGAGCAGAGTTGGGGCCCAGCAGGAGTGCAGGACAGAGGCTGGGAGAAGAGAGAAGACCCCTAGAGGACCCAAGAGCAGCCACTCACTCTGGAGACTGGGCAAGTTGGCATCCTCGGGTTTGGTTTTCAGCAGGTGCGGCAGCCGTGTGTAGCGGTACCCGAACCCACAGCCCTGCGAGGGGGGTCCGTGGGGGGTCAGCTGGGGTTAGGGCAGCTCTCCCCTCCAGCCTGCCACAGCCACCTCCCCTCCAGCCGGGCTTACCCTCCACAGCCGCACCAGGATCCAGTTGGTCTGGGCCCAGGGCCGCTGCTCATAGGGAGCCAGGAGGCTCCTCACCATGGCGACACGCCTGCGAGGGCAAGGGGTGGTGGGTAAGGGCTGAGGCTGGGCACCGTGTGGGGCAGAGCGCGTGCCTCCCCGCTCTGGCCCGCACTCACTGCTCCTCGGGGATCCGCTCCACGGCCCGCAGGGAGTGTGGGTAGCACACGTAGCTGGCCAGGGCCTGCATCAGCGAGTCACGGATGTCTGTTGGGACAGGCCATGCCTCAGCAGGTACCTGGCACGAGCCCCAGCCCCCGCGCCTCACGCCCACCCGGACAGCATTCTGAGCAGACAAGAGCCGGCCGGAGACGCCATCCCATCCCCATGCCCCAAGCCCTCTGGAGGGCTCCTCACCAGTGCCCACGATGCGTGTGTCAGCGAAGTGTTTGGCAAGGATGGCGGCCAGGCGGGTCAGGGTCTCTTCGTAGCCTGCAGGATGGGGCAGGGGGAATGCTTGGCCGGGGGCGGCGGCTCCAGGGGCAGGCCCATCCCCCTGGCAGGGTGAGCGGGCTTGGGCGGAGGACTCCAGAGTGGACTCCCAGAGCCAGTCTGGGCCGGAGCTGTCATGCAGGGGCTTCGGGCATGATATTCACTGACTGACGGGCCATTGCACAGACTCACTGGCGGGGGGCAGTGGGGACGGTCCTGCAAGACTGGGCTCAAGCCCATCTCAGCACACACCTGATGGCTCAGCAGTCAAAGCCCCTTGGGCACCCACAGCTCCGCCTCTGAGCACAAAAGCTGCACCTAGGCCTGGGGCGGGGCAGGGGACAGGCCGGGGGGCCCGATCCAGACACAAACCACCAAGCCCAGGCTGAAATGGTCTGCGAGAAGCCCAAGCTCCTACACATGGCCTCCAGCAGAGCATCCCCGCCTGCTGTGACCTGCAAACACAAGCCGCATCCCGAGGCCAGTGCCAGGGCGCGAGGTGAGGCCAGCTGGCTCCCAGACCACAGCGGCACCGAGGAGGAAGTGAAAGCCTGAGGGACGCCCACCCCGGCACTCCATTTTGTCTCCTTCCCTCCCAGCACCAGGGAGGAGCCATTGGCTCTGGGACTACGGTGCCGGGCAGGGCTCTCCAGCAGGTGGCGCTTTTGCAAATGCTTGTCTACTACAGGGCCGAGGAGAACAGGGGCTGCCCGCGCCCGCTCCCTCCGCGGATGCGTGCTGCTGGGCTAGGAGGCTCAGAACGGGGCTGCCAGGGCTCAGGCCAGAGGCCTCCTTGTCACCTGGGAGCTCCTCCATGCTGTGCACGGGGCCGAAGTAATTCTTGAGGGCGCTGTAGCTGTTGATGGCCACGCTCAAGTAGAACTCGGGCATGAAGGCAAAGAGAGACCCCGTGCGGTCGCCGTGCTCGACGGTCCGCAGGCAGACGCGCAGCAGCCAGTAGATGTCGAGCATCTTCTCCTGCGGGAGGCACAGGGGCTGCTGCTGGGCTGCTCGTGGGAAGGGTCACAGGGGCATGGCTCGGTCCGGGGGCCCAGGAAAGGCCTCCGTGTTCCCAAGTGGGTGCAGTGGCTCGGGCAGGGCAGTCACGTGTTTGGCAGGCGAGAGGGTGCACCCCGTGCCCAGAAAGGGCAACGCCCCAGCCTAGACCAGAATTCTAGCTTGCAGTTTTTTAAGGATACAGGTTTTAGGGGCGCCTGGGTGGCTCAGTCGGGTTAAGCGCCCAACTCTTGATTTTGGCTCAGGTCATGATCTCAGGGTCGTAAGCTCAAGCCCCATGTCGGGCTCTGCGCTGGGCGTGGAGCCTGCTCAGGATTCCCTCTCTCTCCCTCCCTCTCTCTCAATAAATAAATAAAAGACAAGAAAGAATGCAAGAAAGAAAGGTAGGTACAGGTTTTAACTGAAAAGGTGCCATGTGACCAGAAGTCTGGGTTGGAACGCTGCCCCGTGCAAAATGAGCCACGGTGGCAAGTGGGGACAGGGCAGTGAAGAAGCACAGCCTCATCTAGGCGCAAGTCAGCAGACAAGGGACTGGACGGCCAGGATGGGGAGGCACCGATGGGCTGTGGGGGCAAGAGACTGGCTGCACAAGCATGGGGCGCACATTTCTGGGGGTGATGGAACCTTCAGAGAGGCCAGCGGTACTGGAGGAGAAGCAGGCCTGGTCCAAGGCAGAGGGGATGTGGCAGCACGAGGTGCCTAAAAATGCCCCCAAAGAGGTGGTTTTGAGGAAGCAGGTCTGGAGCTCAGAGGAGAAGGTGGTGGGAAGGAAGGAGGCAGAGTGATTACTGGTGGAACAGAGACCACCGAAAGCAAACCACCTGCCAAAGGCCCTGTTCCCCACAGGATGGTTCCCACACGGTCTGTGCCCAGGAGGGGTCACGAACAAGGCCCCAGCCCAGACCCAGAGCACCCACATGTCTTGGAGCTGGAGCATCTGGACTTGACCTCAGCTCTGATGTGCCCTCAAACCTAAGAACCCAAGAAGATATAAGCAAGGGTCAGAGGGTGCACCTGAGCCAGGAGGTCTACTGGGAGCCTACTGCCACAGGAGGCAGAGAAGTCCAAGTCTAAGGAGGGGATGGCACTAATGTACCCAAAGGACCACTGTAACGGGGGTGGGGATGTTTCTGCAAAGAAAGCTACAGATTTAATGCAATTCCTATAGAAATCCCAATGGCATTTTTTGCAGAAATAGAAAAATCTATCCTAAAATTCGTATGGAGTCTCAAGGGACCCAAATAGCCAAAACAAAACAAAGTTGGAGACCTCCTACTTCCTGATTTCAAAACTTAATGCAAAGCTACAGTAATCAAGACAGTGTGGTCCAAAGACACGTTCGTTAGATTACTCCTTTCTGCCCATGGACACGGCCAAGTAAGCATCGATAAAGTCTCCCCTCCCACCGCCGTCATGTCTAAGTCAGAGTCTCCCAAAGAACCTGAACAGCTGCGGAAACTCTTCATCGGAGGTTTGAGCTTTGAAACAACCAATGAGAGTCTGAGGAGCCATTTTGAGCAATGGGGAACGCTTACGGACTGTGTAGTAACGAGAGATCCAAACACCAAGTGCTCCAGAGGCTTTGGGTTTGTCACGTACGCCACTGTGGAGGAGGTGGATGCAGCCATGAATGCAAGGCCACACAAGGTGGATGGAAGAGTTGTGGAACCAAAGAGGGCTGTCTCAAGAGAAGATTCTCAAAGACCTGGTGCCCACTTAACTGTGAAAAAGATTTTTGTTGGTGGCATTAAAGAAGACACTGAAGAACATCATCTAAGAGATTATTTTGAACAGTATGGGAAAATTGAAGTGATAGAGATCATGACTGACCGAGGCAGTGGCAAAAAGAGAGGTTTTGCTTTTGTAACATTTGATGACCATGACTCTGTAGACAAGACTGTCATTCAAAAATACCATACTGTGATTGGCCACAACTGTGAAGTAAGGAAAGCCTTATCTAAGCAAGAGATGGCTAGTGCTTCATCCAGCCAAAGAGATCGAAGTGGGTCTGGAAACTTTGGTGGTGGTCGTGGAGGTGGTTTTGGTGGGAATGACAACTTTGGTCGTGGAGGGAACTTCAGTGGTCGAGGTGGCTTTGGTGGCAGTGGGGATGGCTATAACGGATTTGGTAATGACGGAAGCAACTTGGGAGGTGGCGGAAGCTATAATGATTTTGGCAATTACAACAACCAATCCTCAAATTTTGGACCCATGAAAGGAGGAAATTTTGGAGGCAGAAACTCCGGCCCCTATGGTGGTGGAGGCCAATACTTTGGCAAACCACGAAACCAAGGCAGCAGCAGGAGGAGCTACGGCAGTGGCAGAAGGTTTTAATTACTGCCGGGAAACAAAGCTTAGCAGGAGAGGAGAGCCAGAGGAGGGACGGGGAAGCTACAGGTTACAACAGATTTGTGAACCCAGCCAAGCACAGTGGTGGAGACATGCTTTAGACAATACTCATGTGTATGGGCAAAAACTCGAGGACTGTATTTGTGACTAATTGTACAACAGGCTATTTTAGTTTATGTTCTGTGGAAAGTGTAAAGCATTCCAACAAAGGGTTTTAATGTAGATTTTTTTTTTTTTTTTTTTTGCACCCATGCTGTCGATTGCTAAATGTAATAGTCTGGTCATGACGATGAATAAATGTGTCTTTAGAAAAAAACAAAAACAAAAACAACAGTGTGGTCCGGCATAAAAAATGACACACAGACCAATGGAATAGCACAGAGAGCTCAGAAATAAACCCTCACACATATGATCCAAGGGTTTTTAACAAGGATGCCAAGACCATTCAATGCGTAAAGGACAGTCATTTCAATAAATGGTCCTAAGAGAACTGCATCTCCACATGCAAAAGAATGAAGCTGGACCACTGCCTCACATCTTTTACAAAAACTAACTCAAAATGGATCAAAGACCCTAACTTACAAGCTAAAACTACAAAACTCTTAGAAGAAAACTTGTGGGAGGACTTCATGACCTCGGATTTAACACCAACTTTTGGGCTGTGACAACCAAAACACAGGCAAGAGAGAAAAAAAGAGATAAATTGAACTTCATCAAAATGAAAACTGTGACAAAGTCACCATCTACAGAGTGATAAGGCAAGCCACAAAATGGGAGAATATATGTGTAAATCATAATCTGATAAGGAGCCAATATCCAATACATAAAAAGAATTCCTATGAATCAACAACAACAAAAAACAAACAATCCTATTAAAAATGGGCAAATGCACTTAAACAGACATTTCTCCAAAGAAGACATACAAATGGCCATGCAATGAAAAGGTGCTCAACATCGCTGATCAATAGGGAAATGCAAATCAAAAACACAATGAGACATCACTTCACATCGATTAGAATGGCTACTATCAAAAAAATATATATATATAGAGAGAGAGAGAGAGAGAGTAATAAGTGTTGGCACAGATGGGAAAAAGTTGGAACCCTTATGCCCGCCCTGCTGGTACAATGGTACAGTCACCGCATGGCAGTTCCTCAAAAAATTAAAAATGGAATTACCGTGTAATCCAGCAATTCTGCCCCTGGGTACATACCCAAAAGAACTGAAAACAGAATCTTGAAGAGAGAGTTGTATACACCATGAACACGACAGCGCCATTCAGAGCAGCCAAAAGGTGGAAACAAACCAAATGACAGATGAATAGACAAACACAATGGGGTACATGCAAGCAATGGAGTATAATTCAGCCTTAAAAAGGAAGGAAATCCTGACCACTGCCACAGAAAGCTGGGAGGACGTTACGCTCAGTGAAATAAACCGGCGACAAAGCAGGATATTGCAGGATTCCACTTACAGGAGGTCCCCAAGGTGGTCAAATTCATAGAGACAGAAAGCGGAATGGCAGGTGCTAGGGGCCTGAGGTGACGAGGGAATGTGGAGGTGGGGGGGTAAGTCTCAGTTTGGGAAGATGAAGGGCTCTGGAGACTGGCTGCACAACAATGTGAACACACTTAACACAACTGAACTATACATTTAAAATGATTAAGACGCTAAGCAATATATTATATGTACTTCACAATTTAAAAAAATGGTTAAGAAAACAAATTTTATGTTATGTATATTTTATCATTATTTTTTTAAAGATTTTATTCTAGCGAGCATAAGCAGGGGGAGGGGCAGAGGGAGAGGGAGAAGCAGACTCCCCACTGAGCAGGGAGCTTTATCATAATTTAAAAGAAAGGAAAAGAAGCTACAGAGATGGTAGGGTGAGGTGCCTAAGAAGATGGTGCGGAGGGGTGGGCAAGAGTGCCTAGGCCAGCGGACAGCCATGAAATCCCCGTCCGGGGAGGAGAGGAAGCTCCCAGACCATGATCACCTCCGCAAGGCTGGAGGCAAGGCGGCCCGGGGCAAGAGAGAAAGGAGGGGTAGCAGGTGGAGGTGGTCCGGGTTGGGAAGGAGGCTGGGAAAAACCAAGTGCGGATGGTGGGTAGAGGTGTGGACAATGGCCTTGATCACCTAGTTATGGGGGAAGGGCACGCCTAAAAAGGTAGACAGATGCCCCAACAGGGGCACTCACTAGCTGGGGAGAGATGCTAGGACAGTTCGGAGAGGAAGCGAGTCTGGAGGGTTCGGGGCCTGGGGGTCACAGTAGGGTCACAGGGAGAGTGCATCACCTTTCAGTTTACTGCTCAAGGCCGATGGCCCTGGGAGGGCAGACACTCGTCCTTCTAGGTCATGACTGAGTGTCCTTAGCATCAGGATGCACCTGACATACTCCAGGCTCTGGGCACATATTACTGAATCAATGAGCGAGTGAATGACAAAGTAGGAAACAAGGCTGTAGCCTCAAAGGAGGGAGGGGAGTCAGAAAGAAGCAGGTGCAGAGTGAGGGCGAGTGGGGCTCCAGGAGAGCGCCCCTCCACCCCAGAGAGAAGGGGCAGGGGAGAAGGGGAGACAGGGAGAGACAGGCTCTTTTCCTCCAAGGGAGGATGTGTGAGCCGGAGGGGACCTGGGGCGCCTACAAGGGCATCTACTCAAGCTCATGGGGCAGGAGAGGTTCAGGGGGTATAGCATGGAGTAGGGGTAGGGGAGGTGAGGAGCGGGGAGGGGGCACGTGTGCACCAGAGGCCCAGGGGGGCAGGGAGCACTGAGGGGCTGGCACAACCTGGCCCGGTTTGTGACTAGGCAGTGAGAGCAGGGAGGGCAGCAACCACTGGCCAAGGCCACACCCACTCACCTGGGAGTAGACAGTGGCGTGGACCCAGGCAAGACGGCGACTCAGGTGGTCCAGCTTTTCAGAGAAAACCTTCTGACTCTTGGTCAACTCTGCCAGGATGTCGTTCCTCTGCCCCCAGGGGGAAAGGAGAGCCATCATGCCATGGCCCCACCCCCACCCCGCCTTCCCCAGGCAGCCTGGAAGGGACCCACTGGCGCCCAGAACAGGCAAATGGGTGGGCAGACCCAGCTCTACTCTTCAATTCCTCTTCTGCCTCTGACCCCCTGGCAAGCCTGAGCAGGCCACAGAGCAGGGCCTTGGTCACCTGCACAGAACGTGGAAGTGAGACGCAGCTGAGGCTCCGTGTGCCCATGGCCAGGACACCCCAGGGACCATGCTAGGACCAGAGCTCCAGGAGCTGCTCTCACCCTGGCCAAGCCCGGGCTTCGCATCCAGCTGGGGGCAGGGGCCTGCCGGGGAAGCCCAGCCCAGGCATGCTCGGCCCTACTCCCCGGGGCCTGGAGAGATCTGGCAGAGGGGCTCAGGGGGAGTGGGGGAGGCAGGTCCCACTTCCTGCTGACTCTGCAAGTGGCCGAGGAAGCACTCAGCGTCGAATTCATAATTGATGAGGAGAGTGGATGTGCGTCAGCACTTAGTGGGCAGGGGGCGGAGGCACCTTGGCACGGGCTGTGGCTGGTGATGGGGCTCAGGTCATGCCACACCCTAATGCCAGCCCCGCTCTCCCTGATGTGGCACAGTCGGGGCGGGGGGGGGGGCAGGGACAGAAAACCCACCGGGGCAGCCCCCAGAAGCAGGGGCAGGGCAGTCCCGATTTCCTCTGCAGCCTGCCCTGGGAACCCCGAGCCCGCAAGCCACCTCTCTGTTAACAGCCCTCCCTCCCCCAAACCCACCTGCCCATCCGGGCCTTACCCGCTTGGGGCACCGGCGGAGCTTGTCCTCTGTGTCCCTCAGAGCCATTGCATACTCGTTGACGTCATCAGACACACCCACCATCTAGAGCATCGGACACCACGTATCCGGCGTGAGCCCTGGGCACCTCACTCAGCTTTCTCCAGACTCAGCCCGGCCCCCAGGCCTGCCAAGCTCCAGGTCGTTGGCCCTGCACAGCCCCCCTCCCACAAAACAGGTCGGGCCCACACGCTCCCAGCAGCAGTCAGTCTCGCCGTGGCACACGTCCACGTGCGGTCACACGCACGCACTCCACACTCGAGGGCCACCAGTGGGAGACCTTGCCCAGCTGCTGGTGAACGCTGAGATTATACATCATGACGGCGCCATCCAGGACTTCCAGCAGGGAGTTCTCAGTGAGGGGCTGCTCCGGCTCCTCGGGAGGCCGCCCCAGCAGCAGGCCCTCGTTCCAGTGGCTGCCCTCAACTAGGAAGTGGGGGGAGGGCAGGGTCAAGGCCACAGGCCCTTCCAGCTCTCTCCCAGGTCTGTGGTGCCAGGCTGGGCCTCTCAGCGGGAGAAGGGGAGCCCCTTCCCCCACCCTGGGACCCAGGACTGCAGGGAGAAGGCAGGGGTGGGGGCAGGACAAGGGCCCGCCACTCTAGGCCTATTTCTGCAGCATTGACTTCCTCCCCCCGGAGTGCACTTCCCACGTCCTTGAGCTACTGCTGGGCCAAAGGACCAGGAGGGAAGGGGGGTGCAGCCTGGCTCTGCCCAGGATGGGGAACCGTACACGACGGATGGCACGCTTGGCCCTGCCCGGCACCTACTGTCCTCACGAGTCCTCTGTTCGGCGCTCAGTGTGCGGACCTTCACTTTCTCCGAGGTGCTCAGAGGCCGCCGGGGGGTCATCAGGCTCACAGCTGCTGTGCTGAGGAAGCGGTTAGCTCGGCCCAGGGTTGGAGAACTGAGCCAGCTGGGCCGGGGCAGGGGCAGCACGCCCCCCATGGCCAGAGCCTGCATGGGGCGCTGTGGAGGAGAGAGGAGGCCAGACGCCACTCAGCTCCCCGGGGCCTGGGGCCCATATAGGGCCCCGTGGATTTGTGGGGCTGGGAAATGGCAGGAAGGTGTGTGCCTCCACCTACAGCAAAGAGACCTGCTTGGTGCGAAGCTCCTTGCCTGCACAGAGAGGAAGGGCCCTGCGTGACACCCCTGCCCTTATGATAGAGGGACAGCCCGACACCAAGCACCCTGCCTGACCCTACCGCGGCACCTGGGCCGCAGCCGGGGCTGGCTCCTCGTCCTCATCCAGGTCATCCATGGTGGCCGCCTGGAGCTCCAGCGGGTCGATCAAGATGTTGGCCTTGGAGGCAAGGTCATCTGGGAGGAATGGCAGGAGGGCTCTCAGGCCAGTGGAGGGCAGAGGGGTCACAGTGGAACGGCCCAGGATGGCAAGAGAGACCGCCGCGCGCTGAGCACGCCCCACTGCCCCTCTGCCTGCACGTTCCACTCACTTGGCCCCGGCCTGCGCTGCGTCCCAAGCCCTTTGTCTCACGAGGGCCTTGACAGCAGGGGACATTCCCCATCATGCCCTCCGTCAGTGCCTCCGCTTGCAGCGCCTGCATGTCTCCCGAGCCCCCTACCCTCTACTTCTCTGCCCCACTGCTTCCTTCCCGACGAACACGAGATCCGGGGCTGTGTAAGCCTCGGCCTGTCCCACCGCGCACACAGGCCTCACCGCAGACGTGTCCGCTCCCGCCTCTACACCGACAGCCGACCGCAGCACCTCTGCCTGCATCCCAGGCTCCGGTCCCCAAACACACCGGACTTGTCATCTCGGCCGCCTCCTGCAGCGCCCCTTCCTGAGGCCGCCCCATCCCCACAGCCTCCGACAGGAAGCCTGGCGTCCTCCTTAACTCCTGCCCTTCACCCCCACCTTCCCTCTACCTCCTCACTTGGCTCAGGCACTCCGTTCTCACACACAGACCCCGGACTTCACTCCCTTGCCTCAAGGCCTTCCAGAGCGGCCCCTACCCCTGGAACGAGCCCACACCTGCGTCGTGGCCCACAGGGCCCTCAGACTGCACCTGTGCGACTCCTTGGCCTCATTTCCCATCGCTCCCGGCCTGGTAGTTTCCTCTCTGGCACACCCGCGGCTTTCTATCCCCGGGCCCTGGCGGGCTGCTGCCGGCATCCCTGCCTTTGTGCTCTGTGCTCGCAGCTGCTTCTGCTCACCCGGGGAAGCTGCTCAGGCAGCGCTTATGAACGTTCCCCTCCCATCCCTGTGACCTCACCAAGATCCCATGGTCACTCCTCAGCCAGCACACGTGCCCCTATTTCATTTTCATTACAGGACTCCCAGCCTCCCCCCGGGGTGGGTGCTCAGAGGGAAGGGATGGCTGGACCCAAGAGGCCGGCGGGCAGCTCCCTGCTGGAGCAGGGCGAGATACTCGGGCGCCCTCTGGTGGGCACAGGCTATCCAGCACTCCAGGCCGAGCGGGCTGAGGGACCGCCTCCCCGCCAACACCCCCTGCCAAGCCCCGTCTGTCCTGCCCACTGCCCACAGGCCTGCACGCACCTTTGAGGGTCTTCCGAAGGTGTGAGAGGAGGCCTCCCAGGCGCTGAAGGTCGAAGTAGTCTACCTTGCCATTATAGAACACCTGGGGCGGGATGTAGGCCTCTGCGAGGGCCGGGGAGGGGGGTGGGGTGTGAGCCAGCAGTGAGCCAGGCAGGAAGACCCACTGAGAAGCCAGCCCTCTACACTGCTTAGCACTGAGGGGACCCCTGGCCTCGGCCACCCACCCTCCCAGGCACACAGCATGGCTTCCCCTCCCTCCGCCATTTCAGGTCAGTGCCCCGACAGCACGGGTTGGGATGAAAGGGGCATTCTGGCTGCGGTCACATTCAGAGAGAACCCTGCCCAGCCCTGTGGATATCCCGCAGTCCCGGGCAAGCACGGCTCCCACTGACCCTGAGGACCCTGTCCCCCACAAACACAGCCCCCAGCACCTCAGAGCCTGCCCACAGCGTCCTCTACAAAGGACTGCAGAGGACCAGATGGGCTGGGACTGAGGAGAGGAGCCCGGAACGGGCAGGAACTTGTGGGGACAGAGTGAATATGGGCTTGGCACTCTTCCAGGGTGGGGCTCCTGCTGCCCGCTGGAAAAGCCACCCATCAGGAGGAGAGAACTCAACGGGGCAGGAAGCCTGGGGCAGCCCCATCCCCACCCGACCGCCAGCTCCGCACTCCACACCATCACCAGGGGCAGCCCTGCCCAGCCTCTCTGATGAGGCCTGGCCCCACTCACCCTCACTGAAGGCGGCGTGAGGATTCGAGGCCTTGTATTCATCCCAGTAGTAGCGCAGGGCAGAGATCAACCGGTGCAGGAAGCAGACCATGTACTCAGGGGGGCAGAGCATGGACATGTTCTGCGGGCACAGGGCACAGGATACGCATTTATGCCAGCCCAGAGCCAACTTGCTCCTCATCCGAGACCGGCCCTGAGCGGAGCACGGAGAGCAGGGCAGCAGAGGAAGAGCAAGACGAGGCGGGGACGCCACAGGCTGAGAGGCGCCAAAAGGCTGCAGACCTGTCAACACAGCCAGGGGTCCATGGTGGGCTGGCCTAGTGGACACTTACCCCCCGGCCACTGGCATTCTCCTGTAGAAACTTTCGGAACTTGGTCAGGAAGATGTACCTAGAAGCTTCACCCTTTGGTGCAAGGGAAAATGAGGCTGTAAGGAGCTGGCCCCAGAGTGGACTAGCTCAGTGCTGTGGCTTAGCCTGGGCCCTGCCATGGGAACCCGAGCCAGTGCCTGCCCTCTGGGCCTCAGGGCCCAGGACCAGCACCCTTCCCTGCCAGGGACCCACGCAGGGGTCTGGGAGTCACTCACCCCATTATCATCTTTATTGTTCAGCAGCAGCTTCAGGATCTGGACCTGTAGTTCTTCCACCACTGGGGGCAGGGTGGGAAACACGACACTGAGCCCTTCTCAGCCAGGGCCTTGCCCTCAGGCTCCCAGGGATGGGAGGGGATGGCAGGTTTGAATTGGGTTCCACTCCCAGGGTCCCACAAGTCCAATCCAGACCTGGTCACTACCAAGGGCCCCCCAGTACATGCACACACAAATCCTCCACCCCCTACCCAGTGCCCCAGGCAGGGGGCCGACCTTCAATGCGCTTCTTGAGCCTTTGGCAGCCCCGTTCGTAGGCACGCCTCCGCACACGCTCCTCGGCAGTCTCATCCTTCACGTCCTTACTGTCTTTGCCCTGGGCAGGGGCAGGGGATGGAAGACAGCAGGGCTCACCCAGGACTTAACCGGGCCTGCTTCAGACAGGAGACCCCCGCCCCTACCCCACAGACGAGGCCGGGGAAGGGGCCTCACGTGCTCAGTGCCAGGTGGCTCAGATAGTCTGGGCCAGCCCTCACTGCGACCCTGCCCGCCCCTCTCAGGGGGCCCACCTCCCTGCCGGAGCGGTGGGGCCACCAGGTGGTGGGGATGAGCTCCTGCAGGCCAGCCTCCTCCACTCGCAAGGGGCTCTTGATGTAAAAGAAGACAACGGACCGGAGCACGTCGAAGCTGGTGGTCGTCAAGGGAGAGCTCTGCTCGCCAAAGGGTGAGCCATCCGCCCTCAGGCGTTCTCTCTGGGAAGCCGTCCCCAAACCCGCCTATCTCATGTGCCCACCACGTTCTCCCACCCTTAGGGGTACCATCGCTGCTATAAGTCCGTCTCCCCTGACTCTGAGTCCTGATGAAGAGCCATGGCTGTCGAGCCCGCTCAGCCCAATTCCCAGCAAGCGATAAAAAAGGCTTGTCACGGGAGCTCAAGACTGGGGCACAGGCTGGAGAGAGGGCCTGGCGGTCTCCCCGTCTCCCAGCTGTGTCTGCCTCCTGGAGGCTGAAGACCCCAGACAGAGAAGACAGCTACCAGCCCAGGCTTCTCCGCCAGGGCCTTCCCTCCCGTGACAGTCCTCAACACTGCTGGGAAGCAGGGAGAGTGGAGTCCTACACACTCTTGTAGGAACCCCCGCCACAGGACTTGGATAAGGAGCAGTGCTTTGGCTGCAGAGGTCAGGCCCCGGTGAGGCCCCCACACCTCCGTGTGGTGCCGGTGTCTGCAGCCATCCGGAAAGCCCTGCTCAGGCTGGCCAGGGCCCCTTGTTCTACCCTCCCCGCTCCGCAGACAAGGTGCTGGGAAGGCTGGGTCCTGGAATAAGGACTCACGCATTGGGTGGCTCTGGTCCCGAGCCTCCCTGGGGACCCCCTGGCCAGCGGTACACTGCCCTCCCTGGCCTCTACCGAACCCAGAGGACACCACACGTCTGGCCTGCCTGGCGGCAAGGGGAGGATACAGGACGTTGCTGAGCAGAAACTTGCGGGACTTCTCATGCCTCAGGATGGCGATGGTGAGCCGCAGGTAGTGGATCTGTGGGGAGGGGGTGCTCAGACTGGGCGGAGCTAAGGCCCAGAGGGCTCAGGGCAGGGGCAGGCGCTCCCACCTGTAGGCCCAGGTCCGGGACGATGGGTGAGAAGCGGTAAAGCCGCAGTAGGGACATCATCAGCTGCTTGAGGCAGTCCTGTACCTCGTAGTCCTGGGGGACATATGCCGCGCTGCACGCCTGCCCAGCAGAGGCCAGGCGCCAAGACAGCCACCTGCGGGTCCTTTCCCAAGCCCTCCCTGCGCCTCCCCCATCTCGGTGGAGCCTGCTATCCTGGCCCCAGGCCGGAAGTTGGGAGCCTCACCTCCATGAAGAGCCACAGGAGGTCGAGGACCTGACGCACCACGGACTGAGCCTGTGCGGGGCTGCCCGCCTCCACGACGCCGCGCAGGAAGCTCATGAGCACAGCCTCTACCAGGTACACCTTGCGCTGCACCAAGGGCGGGCGCAGGTGAGGCGGTGGCCCTCTGCCCCACTCAGGGCACCCCTGCCCTGGCACGTCGCCGAGGCCACAGGCACAGAGAGACTCCCGGGCTCACTCGAGCGACCCCAAGACAGAGACAAGCCCTTCGGGGTCTGAGTGAGACACAGGAAGGCACCGCCCCGGAGCTCCTTGACGCTTCGCACACGCAGTTCCCTTAGCCGGTCGTGTCATTCCCCGTCAATCTTCTTTCTAAGACCTCCCCCGATACCCTCGGCTGGAAGCATCTCCTCCTCCCCTGGGTGACATCCTTGAGGTCTGAGGGCTCTGGTCACAGGGGGCCCCGGCCAGGGGATGGTGCTGAACCTCACGCACCCCAGCTTCCCAGCCCCTAGCACAGTCTGCCTCTGCCCCTCCCGGACGTGCCCTCACCAGGAGCGGCGCGAAGCGATGGAAAATGTGGGCCAGCGTGAGGAGGACAGTGGGCTGGCCTTGCAACTGCCACTCGGAGCTGTCCTTCTCCACCAGCCGGCCTTCCTGCGTGGGGGGTGGCGGGGGAGGATGGTGAGGGGCAGAGGGCTGCGGAAGGCCCCCAGCTCACCCACCCAGACCCTGGCTCACCACAGGGTCCAGCTCCACGCTGAGCACCGCCCGGAAGCAGCCCAGCAACTTCTGCGCCCGCACCAGGTCAGCATGCGGCGGGTCCTGCAGGGGCCGGTAGCCTGCCACTGGGTAGGTGGCACAGAGTTAAGCCGCCAACAGCCGGTCTGAGGCTCAGACACCCCCTGCCCCTCTCCACTGAGACCCCTGAGGAGGGGCCTGGGCCCTGAAGCAGCGCTGGGAAGTCAGAGTGCCTGGTGCGCTCTCCCTCTGAGCTCCCTCAGAGCTCTTCCTCTGTCTCTGCGGGCCCCAACTTCTCCTGCCACTTCCCGTTCTCCTCTGTTCCACACCGACCACAGCGGTACCCACCAAACGAGGCTGCCACAAGAACCGTGCTCCTCGGCACCCACCTAAGCTGCACCCTCCTCTCTGCACACAGCAACCATGGCCCCATCACCAGCCCAGAGAACTGCTGGGGCAGGGAGCCCCTCATCCCTTGCTTCGAGAGCTTCCATGCAGTCCAGACTTCTTCCCAAAAGGATATCGCAAGGGACGGCTGCCAAAGTTGAAGGCCACGGACTCCTTGAAGGAGAGGCTGATCGCTGGGAAGTAGGCCATGCCCAGGCCCCTGGACAAGTTCTCAAAAGCGGTGCCCAGCGACACGCCATTCCTGGAGTAGAACGGAAGGCCTGTGAGCCGAATGACGTAGCCAAAACAAGCCAGGGAGCCAGGCCCTGTTGCGGCTGTCCACCCTCAGGCTACCAAAGTCGGCCTGGCCCCCTTATGGAGCTGGGAAACTGAGGGCAGCTCAGGGAGGCCCCAGAGGCCAGGCCTGTGGGTAAAGGCAGGAGACTCACAGGCAGAAGGACAGGGTGCCATCGTCCAGGTCGATGAGGCAGCTCACAATGTCCCCCGCTGCCCACGCCTGCCAGGGGAGGAGGTCTTACAGATACACAGAAGCCCAGAAGCCTGCCCACTCTGCCCCCTGCGGCTGTGTCTCCATTACCGCCCAGGGGAGGTGACCATAAGTACAGAGGACCTGAGTCCTTGCCCCCCACCCCCACCCCGTGCCCTACAGTCTCTCGCGGCTGCCCAGTGATCCCGCCAAGCTGTGAGGATGGACATGGGCAGGTAGGCTACAGGGGTCTCGGCCCTTACCTTGCCATAATTCGTCGTGGTTACATTCCACTTGCGCACCCGGTTGCCATCATAGGCATAGGAGTTGTGTGTATCTCCAACCCCCTCCTAAGGAGGAAGCGTCCATAAGGTCCAGGGAGTAGGTTAGGAGCAGGGCCACAGCCCACAGGCCATCAACCTTGGACCCACAGAGCTCTAGAGAAAGAGGCCGATGCTCTGAGACAAGGAGAGATTGCCTGGGCTGGGTGGCCCTAGGATGGGGTGGGACGCATTCCTCCTCCAGAAGGCAGTCTGGGTTACAGTCCAGAGCAGACCTCGCGCGGTCCGGTGGGCTGCCTGCACCCCAGTGAGGCCTGCGGCAGCAGCAGCTCTCCCTGGGAGGGGGCCTCTCCCGCACGTACCTCCTGATTGAAGCGGCAGTTGATAGTGCACCAGCCAATCTGCATGAGCCCCTGAGAGGAGATGAGCACCTCGTAGACCCATTTCCCTGGAATAAGCCGAGTCAGGCCTAGCAGGTGAACAAAGACTGCCTCCTGCCTCGGACAGGGGCCCACAAATCCTCTCCCCACGACCCGGGCTGCAGCAGAGCATGGTCTCACCTTTGTACACGCACGTGGTAGAGCGGATGGTACCGAAGTTGCTGTGTCCGATCACCTGGGGGAAGAGCAGGGATGGTGAGCCTTCTCTCCGGCACACAGACTGCCTCCCCGAGGGGGAAGGGCCCCATCCCCAACTCAGCTGGTGTTGGTGGTGCCTGCCTGTCATGGCCAATAGTGCACTGAGCCTGAACAGGGTGGGAAGGCCTAGGCCTGTGTCAGAAGGGATTCTAGGTCAGGAGCGTGACGGGAGGGGGTTGTGGCTGTGTTGGGAAGAGCTCAGGGCCGGACTCACATCAAGAAGGTTTCAGGGCCGTGTCAGGAGGTTTGGGGGCTGAGGACTCAATGAGCCCATCAGGAGGGGTTTGTGGCTATAACCCCATAAAGAAAAGGTAAAGAGACCAAGGCCCCATCAGGAGGAGCTTGGGGCTGTCAGGGGGAGCTTGGGGTTGTCAGGAGGGGCTTGGACCTGGGGCCCCTCGCCTTGCCCTTACTCACCCCCAGGAGGTCATCGTCCACCAGAAGAAGCCCCTCGAAGCCACCTGTGTGGTCCAGGACCACAGTGGATGGGCCAAGCCGGCCTTCAACCTGTCCTGAAAAGGAGAGGTAGATGTGGTGTTGGGCAGGGCACAGGGTCTGACAGAACGCACGCCCAGGACCCCCAGAGCCCAGCCTGGCTCCCCCAATCCCATTCCAGAAACTGCCACATACCCTGGCTCTCCTCATCCTCATCCTCCACATGTAACAGCTGGTCCAGATGCTCTGGCAGGTTCTGGAAGTTCAGGGGTTTCCTGGGGAGAGCAGAGGCTGTGAGTCCTCGAAACCAGCCAGATGACACTAAACCCCTCTCCCGCTCCTGTTCCTCTGAGCTTCAGACAGTGGCTGCCCAGACTCTAGTAAAAGCGTTGTGTCTAGTCCCAGATTCTGGCATGCTGGGGGCCAGAAGGCTGGGCTATCCACTAAACTAAAAAGTACTAGTCCAGTGTGGTGTACCTCAGGACTTAAAAGATGAGCCCTCCCTCAGCCTTAATTTCCTTCTCTGTAAAAAGGGAACAACAGCTGTATGTTAGAAAGGCTGGGAAGATTCCAAAGCATGATGCGTGCTCCCTGCATGGCCCATAACCCGCCCACCCTCGAAGGCAGCTCTGTGCTGATTTGCCTGGAAGAGAAAGGCCGGGAGAAGTACCGATCCCCAAGGTGGCCTGTAGCAATGACAGCTAGGCTGGCCCTTGACCCCAGGCCTGTGGTCCCAGCCAGGGAAGTCTGTGCCGAATGAGACAGGCCTTGGGAGGATGAAGGGATGAGCCCTCTGAGCTGCTAGCTGGCTCTGTCCTGTAACCACGTGTACAGGAACAGAGCATATGGCCTGCCTATCTGCCGTCTGCTCCAGCCACAGGGGCTGGGGACATCTGAGTGGCCCCCTTATCCTCCCAGTGCACATGCTCACAGGAGAAAGGCCTCTGCCTGATGCTGGCCAGCTCTGTCCTGAGTACAGCTGCTAAGAATAGCAGGGAATGGGGTGGCAGTAATCAGCAGGGCTCGAGTAGAACAGAGACTGGCGCCCATCTGGGTCCAGCCCACAGACTGTTGGCACCTGCTCTGCCACCTCTGATCCCAGCTCTTTCCCCATTCATTGGCCTAGACAGTAGGCTCTGGAAGGGGACAGAGATGGGCCAAAGCACCCACTCTCTGGCAAGGTAGTGTCAACCCAACCTCAGGAACCACATGCCCCCCTGCCGTGAGCTACTACTGAGCTGTAGGAGGTAGAGACGCACGAAGCCTCCTCCCCATTCCTGTTAAACCCCAAGCCAAAGCCAGGTGGTGGCCATGCCATGGGGTGCCCCACCAGTAGCACGGAAAGTTTCAGCCAACCCCATCTCTGAAGACCCCAACAGGCCCAGGGATAAAGGCTTCCATCATGGCAGTGCTCATGGGCCCCCACTTGGGAGGGCTGCTCTGGTTTTGCGCCTGCTCTCAAGAGCAGTTGGGGGAAGCCGGCCTGAGACTCAGCACTGCCCTTTGGCCAGTGCAGCACTTGTCTGCCCTTTCTGGATCGCCTAGGTCCCAGCCCAGGGCTCTGCATCCACACAAGCGCTGAGTGATGGCCCCGCCACCTGCTCTCCCTCCTGGCAGCCAGAGAACCAGTGACAGCACGACCATTTCTGATATCACATGAGGCAGGGATCAGATGGCCTTGGGAACAGGCCAGGACTGGGGTTGGCATGGAGGTGGGCATTGGCCCTCCACAAGTGGGAATCCTATATGGCCACCGCAGCCACTTAAATGGAACAGGCGACAGTGTTGTCCTTTGTGCCTGCCCAGAGAGCAGACACCGTGGAAGACAGAAGAGCCCAGCTGGCCAGGGGGCTGGGACAGGGACACCCATGCCTCGCTGCAGGAAGGCAGAATCCATGTGACCCTTTAAAGAAAGAACCTAGCAAGAGTCTTAAACGTGATTGCAGTTCAAATGCTCCAGCCGCATGATTCCAACTCTTGGCACCTCTTCACAGCACTGTTTACAGAAGCAAAAGCCCCTCCAAACCAGGGGCAGTGCTAAAGGCTACAGCAGACCTCTGGCCCTAAAAGATGCCCACCAAGATTATTCGGAATTCAGAAATAAAAAACCAGGGGCGCCTGGGTGGCTCAGTCGTTAAACATCTGCCTTTGGCTCGGGTCATGATCCCAGGGTCCAGGGATCGAGCCCCAGATCGGGCTCCCTGCTCCGCGGGAAGCCTGCTTCTCCCTCTCCCATTCCCCCTGCTTGTGTTCCCTCTCTCGCTGTGTCTCTCTCTGTCAAATAAA